CAAATTAATGTTCCACCGAAGGACATTGGCCAGGACTGTGTGCATCCTCCGGGAATTGGTGTGAAAACTGACAGCGTGTGTGTGCGCCTTGTCGTTTCCTGGAACGTCCTTGAGCCACTCAGATCGCAAAAAAAGGGACTGGGGAACAACAAAGCGAAAAGGGACGAGTGCCTGCTGCGAGTTTATATTAGATAAAAATTTAATTTCGCCTTGGTTCATGTGTTTGTGCTTGGGTGCTTAGGACTCTATGCATGTCCTTGGTGTGAACTGTCAATATCCGAAGTTGGGAGTTCGGAATCCGGCACATTCTCCCCTGGTTGTTGTAAAAATGCAATTATGATTGTATTATGGTCGCCTTTGTGTTTACTCTAAACACTCGTCCTTTGTCCTTTGGCATTCTATCCCATCAGCCCAGGCAATCTCCCATTCCAGTTTAACCCGCATCCTCACATGCGTTCCTCTATCTGGGCAATCTGGCTGCAGTTTTGCAGTTGTCATCCAACATGCATCCATTCGATATTCAATGCTGGTCGATGGCTAATAAATTATCCACCTATTATCTTTGCCAAGCAAATTTCTGCTTTTGTCCAAGAAATTGGCTCTGTGTGTGGCTTGTTATTGGCCCAAAACCTGCATCCTTGATGACTTCTCCGATTCCCCAACTCCAGGTGCGAAAATCACCTTTGGTGCATTTGAATTGGGAACGGTCGAATGCATTGCAATGACTTTCGGAAAATGGGATTTGGTTTAAGTTGGAATACTACATGTTTTTCTATAAATTCATCATTTTGCACAATTATTATTATTACTGTTAAAGTTAGGTGTATTAATTCCGAATGAAGTTGGCTTTAATATATCATGTTTAACAATTATAAATATTAATACTATTTACTTTATTAATGTTCTAAAGAGTTGAATTCACAATCTAACTTTTTATGTTTGTCAAATCATAACAATGTTGGTTGTATGATAAACATGAACAAATGTCTGTATTTATTTATAAAGTAAATCTTGACTTCTTTTTAATTCCGTTCTACTTAACCTTCTGTGATATATTTGCTTCCCTCCCTTGATGCAATAAGTAGCACCCCAACCCTTTTGGTTAACCAAGTTGAATGCAACCACAAATTCTCCGGGAAACACCTACTAACTTGACCTGCACAATTGTTAGTGCGACAGTTCCGCATTAAATCAACCCTCTGGGCAAACAAAAAACCTCGATACATCGATGGTGATACTGGGCAAATATACCGGGATATATCATCGTGGTCACCCCTCAACTGTACACAAAGTGTGCGCAAACAAACTCAACCCCTCAGACCCCCCAATTCCCACCCCCAAAACAACAAAAAACCCTCTCAACTGCACTTGAACTGTATGTGCAACATATGCAGTTGATGTTTTTTACCAGACTGCAACATTTTATTATTTCCTTTTTTTATTCGCCTTGCCATTGTTCAACCCCTCTGGATATGAAAATATCTAAATTATGAACTATGACAAATATTATATTACCAACAGGATGGAAGGGAATACGCCTCCTTTTGGGTGATTAATCATTGTGGTAAATTGTGTAAAAAAAAATAAACCAAAATCGGAGAACAGAAGGAAGTATGAAAAGAATGACAAAAACGCTGCATTTTGTTAGACATTTTGTTAAACTTTTATAGAGGAGGAGAAACTGCAGACGGGCCATGAACAATTTATTGCCTTAAGCCGATTACGGAGTGGTCCTTCTATCGCTGTCACTCCTTTTCCACGCCCTATATATATATAGTATTCCCCGATGTCCGCTAAGTAGGCAACTCTCGGTGCCGTCGACACCGCTCAAAGTGGTCACATTAAGTAAGCTTAGGTCTTAGCACTATTTTTTCCTCCCATCTCAGTTTACAGAGGGCTCTTCTGGTGCGAATGATGAAGGGTTACGGCAATTAAAGTTGAAATCACTCGGTCAGCTTTGCTTTGATTTGTTGACTGGAGTTAATTACTGATTAAATGGACTTAGTCGCACTCAACTGGTTGCAATGGCGTGTTGAAGTATTTGGTTTCAAGAGTTCTGTGATTTTGTACGCGATGTGTGGTACTGAGTCCTTAAAAATAAATATAAAATTTAAGCAATTAATAATATACATTTTAATAAAAAATATATATATTTAATTTTTATGTTAAACAAATTCTTTTTTTTTACGAAATTTTTTATTGAGTTAAAATATGTACAAGGTAATTTATCTTTTTTAGGTTCACATGCCATTTATTTAAATGGGCTAACTTCTTGTTTGTTTTAATGTTATTTTCCCATAGTATTTGAAACCTGACCCATTGAACATCAGTTTCCCAAATTATTACTCTCCATAAAGACTCTAATCTCTTTGACAGACATTATGGGACAGAACCGATCCAATTTATGTACAGGAAATGCTGGACAAATCGAAATGGAGCTGGCTCATTGAACGCAAACTGGCCAGCTGACATTGCAGGACAGTCCACCCTCATAAGGTGACTCGATTACGATCTGTTATTTGGAAATTCCAATAACAGAAATAATTGCGAATGCTCTAAAATTGACAGGGTCAATGCATTTCGTACTTGATGCACTTGAAAGTGGAAAAATAAACTGGACTTTTCAGTCCATGCGGGATACAAAGGGAAATAACTACTGAAAATTATTAAAGTGCATCGGAACATAAATCTAGATTGACGCATGCGTTGAGGAAAATGGGTTTTCCATAACTGCGCAACGGCAGCTGCCACTGTTTGGCACACCCTAAGGAAAATTCGGAAGGGGAAGGGGCGGAAAACCACCCCGATCCCAGCTTACGTTATGGTTATGGTAAGCACCCCAGCATCATCATTATCCTGATCGAACGCAAATGTGTTAATTCTCCCCCTGCAGACTCTCTTTATCCCCCTTCTATCCACAACTCTTATCAATCTGCCACTCGACTCCGGGCTGTATGCAACATTTGTTCACCACATGCCAGCCATAGAAAGAGCTGTCCTTTCCCTTTGCAACTTGTAATTTATGCCCGAAAGCATCCATTATGAAAACATCAACACACATTGTGCAAATCAAGCAATTAACGCAGGAAATATTCAACATAATTATCGGGCGTTAGAGGATTTCCCTAGAATTGTCGTCCTACAGGATTCGGGTTTTAGAAAAAAGGCACGCGATGGGCTTAGGTTGGTTTGTGAAATTTTATTTCATTTAATGGCTTTCACAGAGGGAGACTGCGCTTGCTTAAATCCATTAGAGATCACTTAGGCACTTTCAAAAGTTATTCATATCAAGATGGGATAAGCAGGAGTCACACCGTAAGTAAATATTATAGTTGGAAAATTAAGGTACTTCAACGAATGAAGGGTGGCTTTTGATGATATATTCGAACTAGGTACTTTAAATGTAAGATTATGTTTTGTCTGTAGAATACGATTTACAATATTGCATAAAAAAACTAGCTTTTGAAACAATAAATTTCAAGAACTCGTGTATTTAAAAATCATTTTTAATTCGTTATTTTATTTCAAACAAATTGAACGTGATGGTCAAATAAGCTCTCCCACAAACTTCTTGAAATTAATTTTTTCTTTGACAAATACAATTCTTTGTTCAAGTGAAAATTCAATTAAGTATTGTGTCAATTTGTTCATTTGAATGCCCAAAAAGGTGTGATTAATGTCCCCTAAAAAGAGAATAAAAACAAGCTGAATTTCCTTTTGATGTTTTCCAGACGGCGGCGGTCAAATGTCACAAAACACCTACGAGAGAAAGTGCAGAGTAAACAAAGCAGGGAGCATTCCTCTTTAGGGGCATTCAATTTGGCACCGACAGGAGCTGGCTTTTCTTTATGCAAAATACATGACAGTTAAATGAAAAGAAAATAACATTTTCCCGCACATACACGAGAGCACAAGAATCTTTTGCTGATTTTGACAACTTAAGTGTGGAGGAGTTTGAGGTCTGAGACTCGAGGAGTTCTCGAGCACACGAAACGTGGCCACATATTTCTTTTGGGCTCGTTTTGCTTTCTGTTTTTGTGTGTGTTTATTTAGATTTCGTGCCCGGCAATTGGCTTTGGCCACCCGAGGGTTATCCTTTGCGGATCAAAGTTGAAATTTATACATACAAATGTCACACCTCTCAAGGATTATGTATAACAAAGCTGAAAAAAGGAGCCGAAAAACAAAACAAATTTCTGCATACTTCGGCATTGACTTTAGCCGGGATATGTGTCATATCCACACACTGCCCTTACCCCCAATACAAATTGTTAAAAAGATTATGTCGTGCCAGAGGAAAAACGAGAGGAAAATTTGTTTTCTTTTTGCGCTCTTTGGCATTTGTTCATTGTGGCCGCCTCTTCCCGGTCGGTTCCCTTATTTTGTTTGGCAACAGCTTTCAATGCCATGTTCCCTGGCATGTTTTGACTTCGGGTTGTTTCTTTTCTGTCGTTGGCGTTGCTTGTGGTGAATATTACGACATGTAACATTTTATGTGTTGTCCCCCATTCCGCGCCAATCTTTCATCTAAAAAGTGGGCTTGGGTCGGCGATATCATGGCTGGGATAAGTTGTGGCAGGCATACAAGACAAGCTACTTCTCCAAATCTAACTCCCTTTCTCGAAAATGCCGAATATTTTATGAGAAAACCATAGACGTTATTTTAAAGGTATCACAACATAAACACCGACTCTTTGAGAAATAAAACAGAAAATACAGTAGATTAATTTAAATGTAGCAATATGACAAATATAATAAAATGTAAGTTAAATCTTTATTTTTGATTCAGTAATGTTAATAAAATTCTTGCGGGCTGGATATTGATATAAATCATATTATATAATTCATATATAAGAGGCTTAAAAAAAGTAAGGTACACTACACTTTAATTTTAAGAAAACTTATCAATAAGTTTTAAACCATCCTTAAGCCCAATAACACGATCTACTTTCTTCCTTTATTCTAGATCTAGTCAAATTTAAAAAATACAATTCTTACACAGGGACATTTTGATGATATATTTAACAAATTTTCATTTGGGTTTTATCTTATTCAATAAAATATATAAAAATTGAGTCGATTATTTTGACTTTTCGCTCCGATTGGCATTATCCTGGTTAAGTCCTTCCTTCTCTTGCGGGGGTGAGATGGACAGGACCTTAAACGTAGGCACGCCGGAGTCGATTTTCTATGATAAATATACGATAACAACTATAGATTATTAAATTTGACTCGTTTTAAGTTGGCTTTAAATTTAAAAGCTGAGATCTGTTTTGGATGTATAAAACGGTTTTATAAATTATCAGGCATTTAAAACCAGTATCGATTATTTTAATATTTTAAGGATGCTTATTTCATTATTGGAACAGCTTAGTTGGACTCACTTTGATCTCGCCATCACTCCACTTGGCGATCACTGGGATTAGTTTCATTATAGTAAGGACGGCTATGATTCCGAGGGTCAGTCCACTGCTGTAGTACTCGTCCTCCATGATGCCAAGAGTCAGGCCACTGTGCTCGTGCCTCATGGCGCAGAAGTCCTCGGAGCACAGATAGGCCAACAGGCCGACGCCAATGGGTCCTTTGACCCAGTCCTCGGGCCGGAGGCTCAAAAATGCCTTGCCGGGATGTCTACGCCCTGGAAGTTTAATGGCTCCTCCAGCGGAATGGTTGGCCACCGAACGAAAAGCGGCAAAGGTCAAAGGACGAAGTGCTGCAAAAGCAATAACCTTATACAAACTTTATCATGTTTGGCATTCATTCGCAGAATATTATTTTTCAAGAATTCACTAGTTTGTCTCCATTGACTTTACACTGTTTTTACTTTACCTGATCTTGTGAACATTTTCCAGGAATTTTTCTACGAATTTGTTTAGTAAACTGCTCTGAATTGTTGGTATAGTATTGTATAAATGTAGAATAATAGCTATGAAAATGATTGTTAATGAAAGGATTGCCAGTTGTACAAATACTTTTAGAATAATCCAAAATGAAAACATTTTTGAGTACCTTTAAGCAAGTTTACATTTACCAATATATTCTTATTTATTTTTTTTTATTTTTTTACAATATAATAACTAATTTAGGGAAAGGAGTAAATATTCTTATTTCATAATCCAAATTTATTCAAATTAAATACTATTTTTATTTTCTAGTGATATTTTTGTTTTACCAAATTCAAATAGAAATGCTAATATCTTATTAAATATGTTTTGGCGAAATGAAAATTTTTTATCAATGATACAAATTTATCCGAGAGAGTTAAAAAAATATATTTAATGATGCCCGATCTTTTTTTAGGTACTCACATTTTTTAATTTCTATAAAACAATTCATATTTTCCTTTAATTAGTCGAGTTCTTTGTTAACGCCGTTTTCCATGCCAAGCTAAACACAAACTTTCGGAAGGAAACTGGCCTATTTTTTGGCCCAAAAATGAAGGGAAAGCGAGCTAAGCCAAAAAGATATCCCAAAGATACACACGCCACACAATGAACGAGAGGGTGGCGAATTTTTGTCGCTAAGCAAACGGTCAGAAAATAAAACTATGCTCAGTACTATGGCTAATTATGTGTATTTTAAGTTTTTGGGCAGCTCACTAGTTGGAGTGAACGGGAAAGAGATTGGAGGCCCACTTGGCACACAATGCGACAACGTCAGCGTTGAGTTGCATAATTAAAAACTTTACATTCTGCTATTTAAGTTGCCGTGCGCAAAGAAAAGATACAAAATTATGTGAACCCACTTCCCGCTACTTTTTCCGCCGATTCCATCTTCCTTTTTGCTAAGCAAATAATTAAGAGAGGGGAGAGGGGAGGGGCTGAGGGAGTGGGAGAAGTTGGCTCAGAAGGAAAACATCTTTAAGTTGGCCAAGGCAAATAATGGCGAACGGAGGCTGGGCGGAGGCCACAAAGGACCTTTTAACGCTGCTGCAGAGCACAAATGCAGGAAACAGGATATTGGATCATTTAGCATTAAGGCGGCATCGCCTACCGACCCAGTCTCCCTCCTTTCCCCCGCAGAATTCCATTCTCTTGGTCCTGTTTCAATGCGAAACAAGTTAAGCGCAGCGCGAACAATAAAAGGGGGCAGGATCCAAGGATCTGGGGAGCAGGAGCGGGACTCTGGCAAAAGGACAAGAACGAAACGCGTTACGCTTTAATAACTTGCCGCAGGATTAAGTCCTGTGCAATGAGATGATAATGCGCCGTGGCTTTCGCAGCGGGAAGTCCTCCTGCCGCCTTTTGTAGGCGCCTTGTTTGCGGCTTGTGACTCTCTGAGGATAATGTTGATTATGCCTGGGCGTATCATAAAAGTGTAGCCATCACCCACCAATCTTTGTGGCCGCCCCTTTCCTGCCAGCCATCGAGCAAAACAAATTATATTACAAAATGATTCTCCCGCTCCCATTCACTTCCGCGTTGCATATTAGGATCCCAACAGAAGCTTCTCCTTGTGACATGGTTATCTGCCTTTTTGCTTGGTTTGACATCCCCACAAATTTATTGGCCAATAATGGGGATGACGGAATTTGTGGCAAATTCGGGGCCATGTGTGATTTTCATGGGAAGTTTTCTGATTTCACTCTTTGAAGACATATGTACTGCGAAGTTCTGACTTATCATTTGCATCTTTAATATAAACTTACAAAATTTGATTTTTCTTGTTTTGATTTTATTTTTTAATGTGCTTTTACACAGAACAAAAAAGGAAGCTAATTTCGGCAAGCCAAATTTACTTAAAACTATGGCAACTATGGATTTATGTGCTTAAAAATAATGTAATGTCAATTTATAGAAAACCTTTTTGATTTTTCCTATGTAAGCTATTTTCGTAACTGCAACAATTTAAGTTAAAAGTTGTTAGCCTCACTGTGTTGAAAGCTTCTTACCTAAATTATAACACCCCCTGCAAATGAATTAAAATCCTGATTTTAGGAATAGGGATTTACGACTTTATTGCACATTCTGCCCAAATTTTGAATCTCGCTCTCGATGAGATCGCCGGGCTTGAGAAAGCACGACGGTTGGCGATAGGCACCCGCTCCAGCAGGTGTTCCCGTGAGTATGATGTCGCCCGGACAGAGAGTTAGGTACTGGGATAGGCGGTGAATAAGGAAGTCGACCTTGAATATCATGTTTCGGGTGTTGCCCGACTGCCGTTCCTCTCCATTGATGAACGTCTTGATCCACAGGTTGTTTACGTCGGGCACATGACACCTGTGCACAATCGTGGGACCCAAGGGTAGGAAGGTATCCATTGAGTGACCCCCAAGCAGGGCGTTCCAGTCCCGGGCCACAATGTCCTGGACGACCATGAAACCAAAGACATGATTCAGCGCCTCCTTGGGCGTCACTTCCCGGCACTTTTTGCCCATTACCACTGCCAATTGGCAGCCGTAGTCGATGTGCTTGGCCAAACTGTGCGCCTTGATGTTGTCCAGAGCTCCAGTAATGGAGGTGGCGAACTTGACATGGAAAGACGGTTCCCTTGGGATAGAGATGTGCTGCTCGTCGCAGTTGTCCACATAGTTGCAGTCGATGCCGATGATCTTTCCAGGAGAATCGATGGGTGGCAGCAGACTTAGATCCACATCTTCCACATCCTCGATCGTCATGAATTCAACACTGTCCTGCAGATTGTCCATGCTGTACTTTTGATGGATGAAGTCCATCATGTTGGGAGCGGCACAGGTGATGCTAGACAACTCCACCATCTTGTTGCCATCCTCGGAAACCATGCCCAATCGCTTGAGGTGTTCGTTGGCTCGGCGATACTGCATAAATCTGCATTTCGGAAACACCTGTTCAGTTGATGGCTTGATCTCCACCAGTGCGGTGGTTGGGTGGTTCGTCTGTAGCTGCCGGAAAATGTGGTGCTGCAGGTGCTTCTGCGACTGACGATCTGGCCGTGGAAGACACCACTTGGGGAAGTAAGTGCGAAGGATGTGCATCACAGCACTCATTATCTGGTGGAATCTCCTCTAGTTGATTTTACAAGCTATTAGTATAATTTTGAGCAAAGCCCTTTATTTAATAATTTTGAGATATAAAATTCGTATTTTATTAATTCCTGTATAAAACATTAATGTGTGACTGGTGTATTGAATTTTGAACGTATTTGAAGTTTTCTTTCATCTGGGAGCAGCCTACTTATCATTATGGAATAATCTTTACATTAAATAATTTTTAATTAAAATAAATTAAATATGGAGAGAAGTAAAAATAATTTTTTAAGAATTTAAACGTAATGAAGAGTTAATTTCATCTTGTTATTAAAGAATTAAATTTAACAATGTAAGTATAAATGTTGCATGAATAAAAATGTCACTTTCTATCGACACATCCTGACAGAAAGAGGACCCCTACTACAAATGTCATCAACGCATCATGAAAATAATAAACATACATGCTCGCAATTCGCTTTGGCCTTTGTCTCTAGATTCGTGTGAGCTTATTATTTCTTTTATTTACATAATGTATCCATCCAGGCCTGTTTTTCCTCTTGTGTGCAATTTACATAACACGCTAACAAATTTCCCTGTGTTGATCATCTTGGGGGCGTCGGGGGCGTGGTTTATGTGTGCTTTGTCTTATTTGTTTTTATACGCCAAACATTTGGCGGCTTTCATGGAAGGCGGAGGTCATGAGGTTTGATTGGCCTGGTGTAGTTCAGTTCGGGGTGTTCATGGATTTGCTTGATGGGCGAACCATAAAATTAGTTGAGAGGAGAAAGGCATTATTCTTGGATACGGAAAGGGGGAAGATGTGTTTATTAATAGCTTAAGGGCTTTGTGGGGGTCTTAGTGGTTTGTGTACCTCCAAATGAAACCTTCTTTAAAATATACTTTAAAGGTATAAGACAAATCGGATAAATAATATACAACAAAATGTTTTGAATCTATAATTTAGTCAGAAAATTTTATTTTTTAAAAGTTCTATTAATTTAAAGGAAAATTCTTTACCAAAAGTACCCCTAAAATATTGAAAATGAGTTTTAAATTCAATGGAATATTTATCTTTAGATCTTGAGTAATACCTAATCCTAACCAAAGCAATGGTTAACCATTATCTTTTTGCGATGAACAACCTCATCTCCAATCTAGATCGGCAAATACTAGTCCTAAGTGGAAAATTCAATTTAAATAAATACTTATCGGCTGTGTGTGTTTTCTTTTCTCGGCTTTAATCACGGCACCGTTTCAAAGCAGAGGTAAGCGAAAACAAAAACAGGACTTATCTGTTGTGCCTGAAATTGGATTAGGTCAGGGGTACTTTCATCAGGGGTGGCTGCCACACGCTCCACTGAATTTGGTTGACTAGATGGCAAATGCAACTGCAACTGAAAGTGGAACTGGGAATTCACAGCAGCCTTGAGAGGATTCTGTCAGGATTCGTGTGCCGCAATTGTCCTGGTCTATATCGAGGCTAGTATCTCCATCTGTATCGCTTACATGTCTACTTGACAAGGTCCTTGTGGGCTTGTTTGGTTGTGTTTTTGTGTGAGTGTATGCGAGTTTGATTATTTGCCAGGATAACATCAACACACCGAGTTGAGGTTTACAGCTGCCCGGGACAATGGGAGGTTGTGCCCCCTCCTTGATCCTTGTTTTCATTGCGTTTTGATTGGATTTTTCTACGGCCTTCTGTTGCCTCAATTAAGCCGCATTCGTACCGCCCCCGCCCACCTCCAATCCCACTGCGTTTGGCTTGTTTTGATATTTTATTGCTGTCGCAATGTTTGTTTATTTTTGACGCCGCCATCAAACTGCACTGCGGCATCACGGCCTTCCCGATCTCCACCTCCGCCCCCCTCCCCCAGCCACCTCTTTTTGGGGTGGACCTTTTGTCTGGCTGTCAATATGTCAATTTTCCTGCCACTCTAACTGCTGCTCCTTTTCATGCTTTCTATGACAGAAATTAAGTTCGCATTGTCGTCGTGAATTTTGCGTTTCGCATTCATTTTGTGCCTCGATTTGATTCCATTTTGATGTCCATTCGTTTGCCATTTCCTCCCATACATTTTCTCTATGTTTTTTGGCCAGATCGGTGGTGGTTATTTGTGGTTCAACGTTCGGTTCGATTGCGGCAACATTATATTTTTATTAAATGCAATCATCAATTTTCGTCCTTTTGTGTCCTTTTGATGGCTTTGATGGCCGCACAGCTTGATTAGAATTGTTTAGGCAATTAAATTCATATGCTTGATTTTCGTTTCCAATTTTTCTGTAATTTCCGAAGCGTTTTCTTTTTTTGGCAATTGCTTTGTGCGGGCTCTAAATTTTCGATCATGGGGGTACAGTTTTTCCGGCTGTCAAAAAATATGTATTGCACAAGCATAAAAAAAATAAAGGGGTTGGTAAGGGGAACCACATCCCAATATAATATTTGATTTTGCTTTACAGATTTAATAATTTGGACCTTTTAATTACCTACTCAACTAAGAAATTTATATTTAAATCTTAAATAAATTTTACAAATAATTATTATACCCTTGCAGAGGGTATTATAATTTTGGTCAGAAGTTTGTAACGCAGTGAAGGAGACGTTTCCGACCCCATAAAGTATATATATTCTTGATCAGGATCAATAGGGGAGTCGATATAGCCATGTCCGTCTGTCCGTCTGTCCGTCTGTCCGTCTGTCCGTCTGTTTCAATACCGTTTGCGAGCTCAGTTTAAAAGCTAGCGATCTGAAACTTTCACAATCGTCCTAAAACATATGTACGCAGATCAAGTTTGAAAATCGCCCCGATCGGACGTCTATATCCTATAGCTCCCATAGGAACAATTGGATATATCTTGCAAGAATTTATGATATTTCGCGCAGTGTAAAAGCTATTGACATTAATCTTTACAAATCGTATTTTTTTATGCATACCTTGATCAGGGTAAAAGCGCGTGGCGATCGGACGTCTATATCCTATAGCTCCCATAGGAACAATAGGGTAAAATCGGTTAAAATTTAATGATTTTTAGGATATTTCGCGCAGTTTAAAAGCTATTGACATAAATCTTTCCAAATCTTATTTTTTTATGCATACCTTGATCAGGGTAAAAGCGCGTGCCGATCGGACGTCTATATCCTATAGCTCCCATAGGAACAATAGGGTAAAATCGGTCCAAATTTGATGTTTTTCAGCATATTTCGCGCAGTGTAAAAGCTATTACCATAAATTTTTTCAAATCGTATTTTTTTAGGCATTCCTTCATCAAGGTAAAAGCTCGTGCTGATCGGACGTGTATATCCTATAGCTCCCATAGGAACAATAGGGTGAAATCGGTCAAAATTTGATGTTTTTTATTAAGAAGACTTCGGGCTTATTATTTTACACATTTGTTATTCTTTTCGCTACTTTTTCAATTTTAGCAATTGCGGCTAAGTCTGCAAGGGTATTAAAACTTCGGCTTGCCGAAGTTAGCTTCCGTCCTCGTTTTTCAATGGTTTTTTTAAAAACTGCTTAATTGGAGCTTCTCAAAACACTGAATCACAAAAAATTCGTTCGATACAACCGAACTCTGTGTTCTGCAGAACCGCATTTATTCGACTTAGCATCAGTTGGCCCCATTTGTGACTGCTTTTTATGGTCACAAAGGCCTGGCAAATTTGCAAATAGAAAGCATTTAATTGCAAATTGTTATTTTTCGGGGGCGATTCGCATGCGACAAAAACCGCCAGCTAGGGAGAGTATTAAAATGAAGGAAGTGTCGGCAGATTGGCGCGACTTAAACGGCGGCCCGATCATAAATCCTTGAGCGCTCGAGAGCAGTGGGAGCTATGTGGTTTTCTGGATTGAGGATGCATTCGAAGGGGAGAGGGAAACTGGCCACAATTTCCGTTTTCCGGTTGCAGCTAAAGCAGCAGCGCCTGCAGCTCAGATTCACTTTTTGCGCGCAGCCAACAACTGCAACAACAAGGCGAAATATTCTGCGGTTTCTGGGGTGCAATCCCCGCTGCCCCTCGTAAAACCCCCACCATCCCCTGCCAACATCGCCATCGAGCTACCACAACGCATGCATAAATTATTATTTCCTCGACTCGCCCGCCACTTGCTGCCAAATGTTGCTGCAACATTTCTTGTTGGCCGCTCTCGCTCTTTGCAGCGTTTTGCATATAACCCTGCAAGGAAGTCGGGTATGTTGAGTATGTAGTTTTACTGAAGAGATAATAAAAAGTTGGGGGAAAGCTTAATGCAAAATAGGGTATCTTCCTTCCATTTATTTAAAAATTGAAGAAATGTTTTTCTGGTATCTGTCGAAATGGGTAAGCAATTTATTAAATACAGTTATTAAAAAAAAACCTTTTATTACAACATCTGTTATTTTTTTAACTTTGTGTAATTTAATTTTAACGAACAATTAAATTATTATGGATTGTGATAGATATATAGAGCGTCTAAATATTTTGTAAAATATTTGCTTAATTTTTTAGACCTTTATTTAAGTACTTTTAAAACAACTGCTTATTTATCTATTTATCTTAAAACCATAAAATGTTTGGTGCCTTAAGGTTATAACTTAATTAGTAAGCTAATTTTTGAATAACAAACTCCCAAAGTGCGCAAGTTAATTATCCGATTACCCAGATAGAGTGTAACTTCACTTCGGACATTAATCTCCCAAGAACTTTATCTCTGTCCAATTCACTCTTCCTGTAGTCCCCGTTCTGCGTTTTCTCATCGGTACGTCATTGCTTCGCCTGCGAATGACATTTGGAAGTGGTTTGGTTGTCCCACATCCCACATACCGCCCCCTCCTCCCCTTTTAGCACTGCAAGTGCCACGCCCACGCTGGCAACCCTTGGCAGGCGAACAAAAAATAATAAAACACAAACATATTTGAACGCTTTTGTTTTGCATTTTTATTACACATACACTGGCTCACACATAAACAAAAATTCGTTTTTGTGGTTTTTATCACGCACAGACAACGCAGAATGCTCCTGCAGACCCCTCACAACCCATTTACCCTCACCACTGTGATCGTCCAGCAAACTGCTTTAATTGGAGTCGATGGTGTTATTTATATAAATGTTTGCCATTTCTCTTCGTTCGCCCAGTTTGCATTTCATTTTTTTGGCAGTTTAAATTGTAGGCG